AGAAATTGGTTTCTAATGACAGCAAAAATAAATAAATTTCTGTAATGTGCTATGAAAATAGTGTTTGGTCAAATTGTCAAGCACGTGGCCTTAGAAAGTCAATCAAATGGCAATGGATACCGTGCTCATGTTTTTTGTTAAATCGTGTTATTCTGAACACTGTAAACACCTATCATGACCTATATTTAAAATCTGGAACTTCGTGTTGACGCATCGTTCTAGGTTACGACCAGTGGCAAATATTTCCTTTGCTGATGAAGCTGATTTTTTGTTATGCAAAACCTTCTGTCTTGATCAATTCTTTATGTTTCTTCTTTACACTGTTACAACAGCAGTTTATTAAAAGGTGAGTAGATTCTTTGGAGATATGAACACAAAGTAAATTATAGAAGGATTTATCCTTACAGATTACTTAGATCATGGGTGAACCTATTATGGGTAATTAGTTCGTGTTCACGTTGGAAGACAAAAAATATCTGGAAGATTTAACCTTCGAAGTGTTATGAAGCTGTCATTTATTCAAATGGTTGCTTATTCAGATTCAAGTCCTTATCTGCCTACATTTTGTCCAAGCTGATGTTAACGGAGAGAAACACGTTTTTTCTGTGTTTTTGAAAGGTTTGTGTTGATTGTTATGTTTGGTTGTTTTTTAAATAAGGGCATCATGATACAGACGCAGGGCTCAATTTAAGAATGTTCAGTTTGGTTGCATCAGAGAGATTCAGGTTGCAAAAAATTGCATCATTCTTTAATGTATTAAAGATTAAAATATTCTTTTATTCATTGATTTAGCACATCAGTTTCTTTCTTAGCCAGGTTTTAATTAATGCTAGGAATCACTTTTAAATCATGATTAGTATTTGTAAAGAAGTACAATTGTCACATATTTTATCAATATTGTAATTCACCAGAAGTCCATTTCAAATTCATATATATTAGTGGTTTGGACGTAAATAGCATCTTCGGTGCCATGTGCGCTTGACGCATGCGCAGTTGATGTTACTCCATTCTGTTGAAAACATTAAATGTTTTACATCTCCACTAATATTGTCTTTATTTGGCTTCAGGTGAGTTGTCAATGCACAAAATACACACCTTCCATCTCATAAGCATACAAACATTTAATTGTTAGCAATATCATGTTAATTAACACTATTAAATAGTTTGTATTTCATGATTATTGTCGGCCCAATGCATAGAAGTTTTTCGTCTGCTCGAACGGCATGGTCAGAAAAGTTGTTATTGCATAAATACCATAGATATATTGAAGTTGTCCATTAGCTTATGGTAGAAATGTATGGAAATGAATATTTCTGTAGTTCAGATAAGTTTAGATAGGAATAAGTTTAATTTGATAAGAATTTATGTCATTTCGTCAAGTCAAATTTCTTAGCGGTATTGCCTGTATGTGTGAAAGAGTTATTTCCCTTTGCCGCTGAGCGGAAGTAAACAAATCTGTAGCGTGAAAATGTTTTCGTTCAAAGTTTGTTGTTTAGCAAGTCATGTGTTTGCAAAATAGAGTAAGTTTCCATTATATCCTTATGCTTTGTGATTGTCTCTCAAGATAAATATTGTTATTGAATTGTGTCAGTCTGAAGTTATCATTCAATAGTGTCAGGACTCAGAAGTGGTTATGACGTATGATGTATTGAAAGGTTGATTTCCTTGAGTACGTTGTCAAAGTATTACTAGATCATGTAGATAGGTTTGTCAATTAGTTATCAGTTTAATCAGAAGTATGTGTAGATATTTCAAGGTTTGCTGTGATAGTCTCTTTGAAATAAGTTTTGTTTTATTAAAGGCTTGTTTGTCTCATTTTGAATAAAATTCATTGTTAATGTTTCATCATCCTTTTTCCAAATGTATTAATTAAATTCTTTTCATTATCATCATCATATATATATTTTTTTTAACTAAAATATTATCAATATTCTAAATATTTTGGAACTTTGTTTATAACATTGTTTTTCATCAATAATTCATCAATATCTTTATTAATATTTCATCAGGAGTTTTTAAGAATTGTTTATCTCTTTCTATGCTAAATATTTTCAAGTCAATTATTTAGTAATCCAAGGGAGATAATGCAAAAGTTGAATTTCTTCATTATTCTTTTCACTGGCAAACATGGTGAAGTTTTACGTACTAATTTCAAGTGATGTATATGTTGTTTATATTGTCAGTAGATTTGATGAATGTATGCCTTTGATATAAGCATCTGAATGTTTCCATGAAGGTGATTTCGTAATTCAAGGGAGATAATTTAGAATGAATGTCTTTGTTATCTTATCAATGGGTGATGTTTCAGATGACGGAGTCCAAGTTATATGCTACAAGTTACAAGTGTTATTACTGCTTGGAATATTGTCAATGATAGAATGTACAGTATTTCTTTATCTAGTTTTAAGGGTGTTGCCAGGACAACTTGAGAGTGTAAATTCATATCTCCAGTATGTACTTTTAGTAAGTTGGATATAAATTCTGTCAATAGTTTCAAGGTTGTATTTCAAGTTATTTCCAGTTCATGTTCATATGTTTAATGAAAGTTTGTCAATGTTTATGAAGTTGCATAATGGGTCAGAACTCTGGTCAATATTTGAATGTTAGCCAAGTGATAGTTGTTCAAGACAATAAGCCTATACATGATATTCTTACTTTGTCATAACAGTGAAGAAGCTTGTGAATGTCAAGTCTAAGTTAAGGGTTAAGCTTAAGTACTAAGAATGCAATGTTAAAGATACCCTTAAGTCAAGATGTAAGATTGAAGATATAAGAAGTATTCCAAGTTTTATTCCAAGTTTCATGTATCATATATATATATAAGATTTATGATTACAGATTGTATATGAAAGCACTGTTATTTCACTGTACAAGTGTGTAAGAAATGTTGCCATGTGCGCTTGATGCATGCACAGTTGATGTTACTCCATTCTGTTGAAAACATTAAATGTTTTACATCTCCACTAATATTGTCTTTATTTGGCTTCAGGAAAAACTTTGGGTAAACATGACACCTCCTTGGGCTGGGGAGCATTATACCGACTACAATTGTAAACAACTGTCGAAGACCGATCGATAAGAACCGGAAGTTCGAACACGAGTTCCGTCCCTTGGGTTGCTGAATAAATTATCGACAGGATTTGCATAGGGAACGAAATTTAATTTACTTTAGTAGAAAGCGTATCAAAACTTTGATCAAAATTATGTTGTATTTTGTTGTTTAGTAATCAAAAACCTTTGACAAGATGTTCAAAGACAATAAATATTCTATCTTGAATAGTTCTGAAAATATTTTTGAGTATTTTAGTTTGTTTTAGTTTCGTTTCTGAAATCACACAATATGAATCGCCGACTGTCATTGCAGACGATCTTTTGAATAGTGAAAATGTCGCACAAAAACAAAACAATTACACGCTTTTTTAATCAAAATAGATGTTCTAAAAAAGAAAATGATGAAACCACAGACTACCTCACTCACAATCACAGACATGTGAAAAATAAATGTGTTCTACATGATAATTTTATATTGTGGTTTGTGCAAATTCAACGTATTTTGTTTTCTACTTACTACATTCATGTCCAGTGTATTATAAAATTTATTCACATGTACGTGGTTATGTTACGCTACAACTATCCCTCGTAAGATTTCAAATCCCCCCTCTGCACATGCGCACGGTAGCCTATTTACCCATAAGCCCCGTGTCTCTCCATTCCTCTCAAAGGTAAAAGGACAACAAAACTGGCGACAAAAATTGCCATACCTTTATTGTGACCAACTGCCGCTTGCACAGACCACCTCCTCCATGTCAGCAAGGTACCTAAAACACCAGCAATGGCATCGAAACGGACATCAAGGAGAACCAGGACAGCTGTTCCTGTCAAAAATGTTTCCTCCGCAACAAGTGAAACTTCCGACAACAGTTGCCATGTTGGGTCACAGGTCAGAGCGAGTGCGACAGGCAAAGCCGTCCCTTATGAGACAACAGTTGACCTGAGACAGAGGCTGCGCTCCTTAGGTATCACAGTGCCTGCATCGTGGGGAAGAAAGACGATCCTACAACTGTATAAGGAGAATTTTAACGATTGTCAGATTCTGTGCCCCATGTCAGCTTTGTTGACGAAAATACAAGGCGTAAAATACACCAAGGTAAATATATAAATTTGGCTTCTCTGTTGTTACCATGCCAAGAATCCAGTGAATATAGACTTGCTGAAGAGACAGGTTCATGACAAAACGTGTTAAAACTTGACCCACGTACGACCAGGAATTTGAACTTTGCCGAATTCAGCAGAGCCTTCAAGGTATTCAAGGATATTTTCTGTGAAGCTTGGCCAAATAGGAGAGAGCAATTGGAACAACATGAACGTACAGTCGCGGAACTCCACACTTTATATGGAGGACATGCATGTACAATATGAATACCACAAGAGATTCGCGGCTCGTGTGGCAGCACTGGCTGAGAGGGGTACGCACATCACCTGGGGCGTTCCGGACACCAGAATTTATACCACTTGAACTTCTGGCCTTCGCTGTAGGTCATGTGACCTGTGCAGTAGCATCAGACATGACTCAGCGACATGTCCATTCATGTTGACGAACACCTGCGAACAAGTCAGCCCATGACATACCTTGGGAAAAAAGAATGTTACCTCCACAAGTACTGCAAACAGCTCGAATGACGAACAGGGCAGAAAAACAAAGGAAGTAAAGACAAAACATCGGGCATAGGAAAACCATGCGGGGACGATCTCCGGGAAAAGCGGCGGAGTATAGAAGGGTGCAACAACTCGTTTGACGATCAAGGTTGGTAGCGGAAATCCTCGATGGGAAGCTGGATACTGCATGTCCGGTAACCATTGGAGAGATAGAAGCTGCTTACAAAGAGAGATTCGAGGGTAGCTCCATCGAGGTAGACCTTACTGATTACCCTGTTCCCAGCAAGTTGATTGACAACTTTGACATATTGAAGCCGATTGAGCCGAGGGAAATGCTTTCCGCAATGTGGAAGATGAAAGCTGATACTGCAGAAGGACCGGACGGTATACGATTGGATGCTCTAAAGAAGCTTGACCGAATGGGTGGGGGGGGTAATGGCGACATTCTGCAACTGCTTTTTGCTGTCCGGAACAATCCCCAACGAACTCAAGCGGAATATGAGCATACTACTGCCGAAAGGGGGTGAGCCGAATAACAAAGGCAACTGGCGTCCACTCACCATTGCGTCAGTCGTAGTAAGGCTATACACGAAGGTTCTTGCTAGCAGGTTGCAGAAAGCAGTCACACTGCATCCTAGACAGCGCGGTTTTACCAAAGCAGCTGGTTGCGTAGAGAACATCCAATTACTGTTATCCATGATTGAACACGAGAAAAAGAAAGGAAGAGCACTGTCCCTGCCCCTTCTAGATCTGTCCAAAGCGTTTGATATGGTGTCGCATTCACATGTGAGGAACGGGCTGGTGCGACATGGTGCGCATAATCATCTGCTAAGTATAGTAGAAGATCTCTACTGCGGTGCTAGTACTCGGTTTGCGACGCCTAAAGGTCAAACATCCCTGATTCAGATCCAAAGGAGGCGTCGAGCATGGGGATCCCCTCTCTCCTTTGTTGTTCAATCTGGCAATTGATCCTTTATTCAGTCTCCTAGAGGCACGAGGAACTGGATACCATCTTGATTCGGGGATGGAGGTCACGGCAATGGGGTACGCCGATGATACGGGTCTTGTAAGTGGTGACATGAAAGGGCTTAAAACCACCCTTGGCTTGGTGGAGATGTTTTGCCAGGATACTGGTCTGAAATTAAACGTGAGAAGTCATACTGCTTCACTATCACACCCAAAGACGGGAAACAAATGTACTCGGTGAACACGGAAGTAGCGGCGGTACTCGATGAAGGCGAAATCCCATGGATTGATCCAGGTACGTCAGTAAAGTACCTTGGCGCTCATGTAGATCCGTGGGTAGGGACCACAGGGAAGACCTGGGCCCATTTGCTGATCGAATGGTGCAAAGGTATATCCGAGGGCCGTTTAAACCCCGCCCAAAAGTGTGCCTCCTCACCATTTACGCAGTTCCCCGTCTCCAATACTCTCTCACGACAGTGGGACCCGCTTGCGGGATGCTCAATCACTTGGACAACATAGTGAAAGGGAAAGTCAAGGATTGGCTCTATCTTCACCCATCGGTTGCGTCAGCTTTTATCTACACCAGTCGTAGAGACGGAGGTTTGGGCCTACCATGTCTGCGGTACATGGTTCCCTGTAGCATTGTGCCGTCGAAAAGCCGTGTAATTAACTCTAGAGATCTGCTGTTGCGTACAATCAGTGAAGAGATTGATGCCAAAGGACACCTTACACGGCTGGTAGACAAATGGGGGCTTCCGGAGTGCGCTACTAACCTCCAGTGCCGAAACTGGTGTCGTAACAAACAAAGGATGGCCTGGTACGCCCATTCGGCCCAAGGGCTAGGAGCAAGATTGCTAAGGGACAACAAAGCGGCCAACTGGTGGCTAGAAGGTCAGACTGCGAGTACTCACTGGCTATTAAGCTGCACACCAACACCTACCCCACTAGGGAGGCAATGCATCGGGGACGAGATACAGGAGATGTGAGGTGCAGGCGGTGTGGATTTCATACGGAGATGTTGGGTCACATCAGTGGACACTGGATTTGTGAAACGGAAGCCGAATCAAAAGACAAAACAAGATATGCACAGCCGTATCAAATGCTGCCAAGCTCCAAGGTTGGGCAGTATTGTGCGAACCCAGGCTCCGTTTGGGGGATGCCTATTTCAAGCCCGATCTAGTCTGCGTGAAAGACGGGAGGGCGGTAGTAGTTGATGTGACGGTCGTATGGGACCCAAATAAGGGGGCCTTAGTTGCGGCGGCTAAGGACAAGGAGAGAAAATATCGGCCACTTGTGCCCTCGGTACTCGATAGAACGGGGGCGTCACACAGCGAGGTCTAAGGCCTCCCTCTCAGAGTGAGAGGTAGCTGGCTGCCCCGATGCTACAAGGTACTCGAGGTCCTTGGCATCCCGAGGTACAGTGCCAAGTACTTTTGTCTCCTGGCTCTGTGCAATTCCATAAGACTGCTGTGACTATTCATGGACCAGTAAAGAGGATTGAAAACGGTGATCCCGGATTGAACCAAGTGAACGCTGCATAATCACATTGGAATCCTACTCGGCACTGAACAGGGACACATGAGTGCTAACAGCTATATGAGACAGACTGTGATCTTGGCAACTTGTTTATCATAAGATAATTACAAGTTTGTGAATATTGTATAGTTGTATTATATGTATATACATGTTATTGAGATATGTAATTTATATCTCGACTGACACGGCAGTCTTATAAGATATTTTAATATCATCTACAACAGGGTAATATCTGAGCTCATACAGCAGTTTTCACTTGGGTACGTCGGAATATATCATGAATATAAGCCGATTTGAAGCGTAGCATCTGGCCAACGCATGAACCTATATTTGGTTAATTTAGTCGGTACAATAAGTATTAGTATCAAGCATACTAGTATACAATTATTTCTTTTTTCAATGTTCCCAATTTAAGTTCCCCTCACGTGCGGAACGGTGTGGCCATACGGCAATATGGCTACACGGTGTGTATATAGTTGTATACACACCAATTTTTCATAGTTTTTTCACTTTCTGGGAATGCAACATACCTCATAGGGAGGTATCATTCATGTATACATTTATGCTTAGAGTGTTTTAACACCTAATTGGCCTGTGTGTTCCAATCTTTTACCCCATGTTTCATATTAGTCATTCATGCAATGACGCATCATTAATTTGGTTCCGCCTTGGAGGAGGCATTTGTATATATGATCTGTCATTAGTCAATAAGATTATATATGTGGTGATGGTGTTATTGGTGTTGGCATTTTACATATATATGTTGATTAGTAACTTACTGGTCGCATAACCATTAGTCTATGGTATCTATCAAAGGGTTGGGAGAATGAAATCCATTAATAGTAGAACAGTCACTAAACTGGACTTGATATACATACATGCTTAGAGAAATTTTAAATTTACAAAAATATTCCGTGTTGTAATCATAACATATTGTACTATTACATAGCGGTCAACATCTACCGCAATAAATATGTTAATAATCACATGTATTTTGTTCTTTATACCTGTGGTATTAGCTAAACCCTAAGTGGGCCCCATCCTTAAATGGGCCCCAGCCAAAGACATGAGGGGAGATAACTCTCACGAGTATGCTGCTGGCTGGAAGCACATGGCTTCAGCCACACTCCTGTACACAGCTACACTTCCAGTGAATAAACACACTTAACAAACGAAGACATCTTTGTCATATCGCCACATGGTGTCAGAAGAAGGATTTTGTCATGGCAAGCTTTCAAATAACTCCTCCTGAGCAATTTGATTTCTCTAACACAGAGGGATGGACAAGATGGATCCGTCGATTCGAGCGGTATCGCATCACCTCCAAGCTTGCTACAAAAGACCAAGAAACCCAAGTAAATCAGCTCATATACCTGATGGGAGCAGAAGCTGATGACATTTTGCCGACTTTCACTCTCTCTGAAGAGGAACAGACGAGCTATACTATTGTCAAAGCTAAGTTTGATCAGTACTTTTCTGTTCGTCGAAATGTCATATTTGAGCGAGCTAAATTTAACCAGCGTGTACAGAGAGATGGTGAACCAGTTGATAGTTTCATCACAGATCTCTATTCTCTTGCAGAAAACTGTAATTATGGTGCACTTCATGATGAGATGATTCGAGACAGAATTGTCGTTGGAATCCGTGACCTCAAATTATCAGAAAAACTTCAGCACGACTCTGAATTAACATTACAGAAAGCTGTCACAAGTGCCAGACAATCTGAAATTATCCACAAGCAGCAACCTGTGATTCGAGGCAATGTGTCTTTGAATACAGCAAGTGGAAATTCAAGAGTTGAAGAACTTGTCACTCCTAAAGGCAAAGGCAAGAAACCTCGTGGCAAAACTAAGCCCAAGACTTCACCTCGTCCATTTTTTAACAATGCAAAGCCTAAACCCACATGTTCATACTGTGGTAGAGATTCACACCCAAGAGCAGAATGTCCTGCAACCAGGTCAACCTGTCGGAAATGTCGTAAAGTTGGACACTGGGATGTAGTATGCAGGAGTCAACGGTGGGGTCTATCTGAGATTCGTCTCGAACAAGGGTCTAACAATGAGTGTACCAACAAGCAGGAATATGCTTTTCTTGGTTCCATTAGTGCTGATAGTGAAAGCTCTGATCCATCACGGCCTTGGCTTGTAAATCTTGAGGTTAACTCACGACTAGTTCGTGACTTTAAGATTGACACGGGTGCTGACGTCACCGTAATTCCCTATGACCTTTATGTGTCTAAGCCTTTTCCAAAACTTCAGCAAAGTGGCAAGAGACTGTATGGTCCAGCTAACTCTAGTTTGTATGTTGTTGGAAAATTCAGAGCAAAACTTAAAACTGTGTACGGTGATGTTGTGACTGAGCAGAACATATATGTCGCCAGAGGTCTTACTCGTTCTCTGCTGGGTAGACCCGCAATTCAAGCTCTCAACCTTGTCAGCCGCATTGATAGCGTTGTTGGGGACAAATGGAAAGACATGTTTCCCAAACTGTTCACTGGGCTAGGAAAGATGGAAGGTGAATATACTATCAAGCTCAAAGAGGATGCTAAGCCTTTCTCTATCTCAACACCCAGACGTGTGCCTCTACCTCTCATGAAGAAAGTGAAACAGGAGCTCCAATCAATGGAAAGCAGTGGTGTCATATCTAAAGTGGACTGTCCTACCGACTGGTGTGCTGGTATGGTGGTCGTCCCAAAATCTTCAGAGAAAGTCAGAATATGTGTTGATCTGACTAAATTGAACGAGTCTGTGAGGAGAGAATATCACCCTCTTCCTGCTGTGGATCACACACTAAGTCAGTTGAGTGGAGCTAAAGTGTTCACAAAACTAGACGCAAACTCTGGATTCCACCAGATTCCATTATCCACAGATTCCTCACTACTTACCTGTTTCATCACACCCTTTGGCCGGTATTGTTTTAACCGCCTACCTTTTGGCATCTCGTCAGCACCAGAACATTTTCAGAAAAGAATGCAACAGGTTCTGGAAGGTCTAGATGGAGTTGTGTGCCAGATGGACGATATCCTGATTCATGGTCATGATGAAAGCGAACATGATCAGCATGTAGCGGCAGCCTTGAGCAGATTGCGTGATGCAGGCATAACACTTAATCTGGAGAAGTGTCAGTTTTCAAAGAATAAAGTGAAGTTCCTTGGACACATAATTGACAGCACTGGCATTTATGCAGACCCAGACAAAATTCATGCTATTACCAGGATGAGCGAGCCACAGAAAGTCTCTGATATCAGGACATTTCTCGGTATGGTTAATCAGCTGGCAAAGTTTGTACCCAATCTTGCATCTAAAACACAACCTCTTCGCGAACTCCTTGTCAAGGACAGAGCTTGGGTCTGGGAGGAACCACAGCGTTCTGCGTTTCAGTCTATCAAGGACCAACTGACATCTGCTCCAGTACTCGGACATTATGATCCAAATGCGGAGACTTGTGTTTCAGCCGATGCTTCCTCATTTGGATTGGGGGCAGTGATCTGTCAGAAAGACTGCAGTGGAGTATATAAAGCAGTAGCCTACTGCTCTAGATCAATGACGGACACAGAAAGGCGCTACGCACAAGTGGAAAAAGAGGCGTTGGCAATTACCTGGGCTTGTGAACGTTTTCGTGACTACCTGCTAGGTAAACAGTTTCACATAAACACTGACCACAAACCACTTCTTTCTCTGTTGGGAAACAAGAGCTTGGACCAATTGCCACCTCGCATACAGCGATTCAAGATGCGCCTCATGGCCTATTCCTATACTATATCACATGTACCAGGGAAACAGCTTTGTTCAGCGGATGCACTCTCTAGAGCGCCGACGGATATTCCACTCTCAAGCCAAGAGTCTTGTCTTCTGAGGGACACAAATATCTATGTTGATTCTGTTCTTGCTACATTACCTGCAACAGATCAACGACTGGATGAGATACGTCTCAAACTACGTGAAGACCCGGTATGTGAACTCATAATGAAATACTGTACTGATGGATGGCCAAAATACACATCTCTGCCGGACTGTGCACGAAACTACTGGCCATATCAAGGGGATCTCACTGTAGTAGATGGGCTACTCATGATGGGAGTAAGACTGGTAATTCCAGCTTGCATGAGAATTGAAATTCTTGACATTTTGCATTCTTCTCACCAAGGTATTACTAAGTGCAGGGCGCGAGCAAATGAGTCAGTTTGGTGGCCAGGCATCAGCACACAGATAGAACATGTAGTTAGGGGTTGTCATACATGTGCGCGATTCCGACCAAACCCACCTGAACCTCTGAGATCTTCAGAAATTCCATCTCGCCCATGGAGTAAAGTGGGGACAGACCTATTTGAACTGGATTCCATACCATACTTACTTGTAGTGGACTACTACTCAAAGTATATTGAGATTGCAAAACTTGACAGTACTACCTCTGCAAGTGTGATAAACCATCTGAAATCTATTTTCACAAGACACGGTATTCCGGACATTGTGATTTCGGACAACAGTCCACAGTACTCGTCCTATGTTTTTCAGAAATTTTCTGAGACCTATTGCTTCACTCATATCACAAGTAGCCCGAGGTACCCACAAAGTAATGGTGAGGCAGAGAGAGCAGTTCAAACTGTGAAGCAACTTTTGAAGAAATCATCTGATCCTTACATGGCACTCCTCACCTATAGGAGTACACCGTTACAAAATGGATTCAGCCCTTCTCAGCTCTTGATGGGACGCAACTTGCGGACAACTCTCCCAGTTCATACATCTCAACTTCAGGCTAATCAACCATCTTCACAGGAAGTGAAGTCGTCGTTTACCAAAATCCAACAGCGTCAAAAATCGAACTATGACTCTCGTCACAGATCACGCATTCTTCCCCAGGTGAAGGAGGGAGATACAGTGCTTGTTAATGACAGTGGATTCATCAGAGAAGGTCAAATCCACAAGGAGGCTGAAACTCCAAGATCATTCTACATCAAGGCAGGTGATAGCATTCTGCGCAGGAATCGTAGACACCTCACTCCTGTACCAGGAAAGCAGCCAACAAACACAGACGCCAGGTCACAGCCCTTGAATGTCTCGTCTGGTGTACCATCAAGTGTGCAGCGTGACATTCCACCTGATGTGACTCTGACCAGATCCGGAAGGGTTTCAGTTAAACCTGACAGACTTGATTTGTAGAAAAATGAATAGTAGTCAGTTAAGAAACATGATTGTTTCATGTTAGTCGTTAACAGTTCAGTAGATTTAAATCTACATTGTGTTTGATTTCAGTAAAAGACACTGAGGTTCAAATGTATGTTTACTCAAAAAAAAAATGGAAAGGACATTATTATTTGTGATGTATAGTTCAGCATCAACAGTTATTCTTTTATTACTAGTTTTAACTTGCTTTTGTGCTTAACAAAGGGAGATGTGGTATTAGCTAAACCCTAAGTGGGCCCCATCCTTAAGTGGGCCCCATCCTTAAATGGGCCCCAGCCAAAGACATGAGGGGAGATAACTCTCACGAGTATGCTGCTGGCTGGAAGCACATGGCTTCAGCCACACTCCTGTACACAGCTACACTTCCAGTGAATAAACACACTTAACAAACGAAGACATCTTTGTCATATCGCCACAATACCAATGGAGCAGGTTCCAGATCACAATTAGTCAATAACATACTGCCTGTTACGGTAATCTGGCATCGCGAGATGTACAGAGTATTCACTCATTGACATACAGAGTATTCACTCATTGACATCAAACGAGGGATGTCGTCCCTTAGTAAGGTCTCTGTCTCTATCTCACTATTATTATACCATATGGACTCTTATTATGGGTCACATACTGTCGTGGCAGTGGAACTTATGACTCTGTCATAACCAATGGGTAGCCTCGCTCACACTTGCACTTGTGCAAAGAAGGGTTGGTTTGCCGTGCCAACATGAGAGAACCTTCTTATAAGCTATATAACTACGGCGCAACTTAAGTCAAAATTACTGAATCTCGGTATCCAGACACCAAACATGACCAGAAAAGATCTAGTACGCTTGTAAGAGGCCAATGGAAATCGTAGGATACCATCTTCGACAGTTACGAGTGACGAATGTCAAAATTCAGATGGGACTACTTTTCCCACGCCAGAGTGACCAATTGGACCCTTTTCCAATATGGCGGCACCCACGATCATTACCGGCGAACGATTGTCAAGTTCAACTCCCCTGTCTCAAGTGCCTTGTACTTTACCGGAGAATGCTGCTACACTACAAAATCAAATCCAGGCTTTACAACGAACAGTCGAATCTCTGCCTCGACAAATTGTGGAAAACCCAGGTAGATCAAGTGACCAGACATCCACTTTCTCAGCACAAGAGACAACCAGACATCCCAACACGCTTTGCGGGAGGCATTCACTCAGAATTGCTTCTCATGATTTACCCGATGTAGTCTGTATCTCATCTGCACTCAGAACTAAGATTCAGCAGGGGAAGTATGTCAACATCGCCTTATTGACATTGCCTGAACATGAGTGGTCAAACGTTCGCACCATAATGGATGGAGAAGGGAATGAAATTCGAATTAAAGGGGGATTAGATCAACTTTTAACTCAACCCTTGACCATTGGAGACTTTGTTTCATCGTTCACAAAATACATTGACATTGTGTGCGAAGTGGCTGATCGCAGAGAAGAACTACACAAATATATGGCTGACATAGTCGACATTGCCCATCAAAATGAGGGTTCTTTGTTCTATGACTACCATCAAGCCTTCTTTCAAAGAACAGCTACCCTCCTCGAAACTTACAACACACCAACCAGTCTATTGGGGCATCAGGGACAGAGCGGAAAAAGAGCTTCTGTATCTCAGAGTGAGGGCAGTCAAGAGAAGTCCGATAAACAGGCATGACCTTCTGACCCCCTGCTGCCACAGTTTCAGAGTGTAACTCCTTCTCCTATCAATGTTCAACAGCTCCAAAAAGAACTACATAATCATCCAGATACATTATTTGTAAAAACTCTCATTCAGGGATTTACTCATGGCTTCGATACAGGCATATCTAGTCCACCTACTTCCTCTTGGAAGTGTAGGAATAATCTCTGCCAGGCAACAAGTCGATGTGGTGACAAATTTACTGGAGGACAAAGTAGCCAAGGGTTACGTCATTGGACCATATTGCAAACCACCCTTCCTGTGTACAGGATAAATCCGCTGGGGTTAGCATTAATATGCAACAAAACACTAACTGGTAATATTAAATCACTGTTTAGTCAATAATATCTGCATAAACTGAAGATATATCTACAGACATTATTATAAGAGAATGTGTGTCATACTGATTTTATGAAATGATTGTCACAATTCCTATATTTCAAGAGCCAGATACATGAGTTCTTACACAAGTTACCTAAAATCTGTTTCACATGCGAGTGTCGAGAAAACCACCATTGGGAAATGATGTCAACACTCTTCAGCTATGTGGGACATCATTCTAGATATTTCACAATAAAAAATTTGAAAGTTGTCAACAATGGCACCCAATGATGTAAACAATACACTGATGCTCATGAAGTGATATTTGCACTAGGGCTCTCTATGAACTCTGTTATTTCTAACTCGGGGTAATAACTCTACTGAACAGTGCAACTTCTGCTCAGGGCTTTTAATCCTTTTAATCCTGCTACAAAACCAAATAAATAAGTATTTGGTGCCAGTTACAAAAGCCAACAATGCTTACTTCTGTCTTCAAAAGTCATTAATAATTCCTATTGCAACAATTTTGTGTTTCATTTAAAAACTCCATGACCATTAATATTTGGCATCAATGCCACATAAGATGTTTATCAGGAATACCTTCTCTGTTTGTGCAATCTATATATAGCACGGGAATTACCTTCCTGTGACGTAATGCGTTGTAACCATGTAGCATGGTTCTGAATACATGAGTCAAATGAAGACTTTGTTTTTGATTTCTATTAATCAATCAAGCTTATATAAAGTAGCTGATTGATCAAGTGAAACATGGTGTCAGAAGAGGCTGATTCCGTTGATGAACTTTAAAAGCACGGACAACGCCCTGACATTGCAGATATTATAAGAGTTTCATAAAATTGGTTTCACACGGGAACGAGTTTAGTATCTTATTTATTACTTGCCATTTATAACATTTTTAGAATGATACTGTTGAGTGTGAATAGGCTGTCACCTACACGATCCACAGCATAATCCAATCGAGTTTAACAGAATAATACTTCAAACACGTCAAAAGTATGAATTTTTAATACCATACAACGGCCCACCTTTACAATTCAGGCGTCCGTTCCATAAAAAACTTATCCTAGCGCTAAGGTTATGCAACTCTTACTTTAACTTAGACTAACGACTGTCGTTGTGCTACAATACGATCGCCTTGTGGAATGGGGCCATGCACCTCAAAGTTTACAATAACGTCACAATACCTGATGACGTAATTTGTGGAATTTTGTTGCAAGATCCTTCAGCGAAACATGTGACGTCAGCCTAGCAACAAGGTTGCTGGGGTCATCGAGTGTGCATAAGCTCCTCTAAGTGATCGATCTATCATCTCCACACGCAATGTCGTTGAATAAGCCAAGGGATGTTGAGAGCTTTCAATATTTGTTCGTGAAACGTGTTCCGAGAGTACATAAGCACGCGTTTTGGTATTACACAATGTGTAATACAGCTGTATGTTTATTAAACGGGTGATCTCTTCACAGGCAAGTAATAAACTGGATAATCGAATGACACTGAGCTCCTTACAGGGAGCAATGGATGCGGTATAATTCACTTTGAATTTATACGAGCTGACATGATCCTGTTACATGTGGGTTTCCATGAGGGGTTTCATTGGAACACTGTATGTGCTGAGCATTTATTTTATAGTTATGGTTGTTTAATATGTAGCATTTATCCTATACATTCAGATGACCGAAAATGGCTGAAGAGTGTGGCAAAAATGGGAAGACCAATTCCAGCAAGAGGTAAGGACAAATCTATGTTTATCTTAAATTCAGTTAAAAGTTAAGTTTACCTAGTAAAATTTTGAATATGAAAACAGTTTCTGTGAAGAACAGTGGAGCCCATAGTTCTGTTGTTTCCCTGACTGGTGCTTGGCATTAGGGGATAGCAAAGGGCCTGGTCATCAGTGGGGCCTCCACGTTTTACCGTTGGGGGTATCCAATATATGTTATACTGTGGGAGGGTATCTCAGATTAACACAGCTTCTAGAATAACAGTATCAGAGTGTCACTATTTCTAATCAAATTTAAATGTCATTGCTGTTGATAGATGAAGCAACTCCAAAGCAGCAGAGTACAAAACCTGTCAAACATGCACAAGGTATGTGTAAACAGTCAAAATTTTACTTTTCCATGCAGAGCCAATAATTTTGAGTTTATTTCCTTAGAGATTGTTTGTGACAGTTTGAACATTGTGGCACTTGGTCATGTTTAAAAACCATTTTCATAAGCCTTAAAGTAACATTTGATGGAAATTTGACACTCATGTTTAATTTGTTGATTTGCAAACTTTGACTTTTTCCTTCTACTTCTCAAATTGTCCATAGGGAAGACTGCTGTTGCTTCATCGGGGCATAAGGGAGGCACCCAAATGACACCAACAGGTAGGTACTTTTTACACATCATGATGATCATTGATAATTCCTTGTAATACAATACAACTCATTACGGTGTTACTGTGCTGACAAAAAGTAAACTTGTTATTTTTCAATAATAGTGTACAACCTGTCACTTTTGACTTTCCTCCTATATTCCGCTGTGATGTAATTGAAATAATGTATTACCAGTATGTATTCATTCTCTCTTTACTACTCATTAAGCAATGCAGAAGAGACCTGCAGATGCAGTACAGAGTGACATGGCAATGAAGGCATTGAAGAAGTTGAGATTAACGAAGTAAGTGACATCAATTACTGCTCTTTATGAAACTAGTGTTGTATACTTTTGGAATTGAAACCAGACACTGCACTTTGCTTACTGCAAAATGCCATGAACAAAAGAAAAGGGTGAAAACACTGACAATGTTCTTTGATAATTTTATTTCGTAAACTGAAATAAGGTCTAAATACGATGTTTCTCTAACTTCCGGAAGTATAAGCCTTTTAACGTAATCTCGTGAGAGAAAACGAGATCTCGTCCTCATTTCTCTGGCTTCGAAAAGCAACACACGTGTTTTACTTACGCTAAATACTTAGTGTTTTTATTGTATCTTACTGTGGGTATTGTTTAGAGCATAGTACTTTTATTCGGACCTAGGAAGCAGTCCGGCAACTAGGGGAACTCCACGTCCCTTCGTTTTACCTTTTACTGGACTTATTCGCGACTAAGATGTCACAGCCCTCGCGGGCTATGTATCCCAGCCAAAATGGGGGATAGCCAAGAGGCACCTCACCCAAGTACTCAAATGGACAGCCAAGAGGCACATACAAACCATGAGTTAGTCAGCATTGCCGCTGAAAGCTCGGTGGACGATGACTTAGAACGAAGCCGCAAATGCAAGTGGAAAGACTGGAAAGACTATAAAATTCCACGCCAGTACAGGCGAGAAGAGAGGTCTACTAACTCGAACGACAACAACGACTCAGTCGGAACCGAGTACCTCGACGGACTTTAGCTCCGAAGAATCTTTGGATACATCCGATTCGGTTTTTAACGTGAAAACGAAAAAATAAAAAAAGAATAAGCATCGATTTCGCGACGTCTCGCGAGATACGAGAAACAACATGGCGGACGGCTCATGCGGTTCCAGCCAACTTCTGAGAAAGCCAGTCCAACGATAGCAGGCGATATGCTCGCTTATGCGGTTGACCTATTCTCAAGGTACGAAAAGGACGATGTCCTAGAGACATCTATTCTTTCAGATAACCCCGTGCCAGATGGATTTCATGTTCAAAGCCTCGATGACGAATGGCAAGTCATACTGGAAGCAGGTCGTTGCGCCCCGGTGAAGGCAATGGAAGCCGCGCTGAAATGGATCCAGTCTAGGATCATTAATGTCATGGGACCATCGACTAAGATTTGGTCAATAATGGAACAAGAAAGGAAGCACGGGGGCGACAAGCTGGACGTACACAAGTTCCTCAGTTTGGTAGAGAAATCAGTGTGTCTGCTAGGCCAAGCCAATGTAGTGACAGTTTTCCACAGACGATTAAAGATTATGGCAAAAGTAATGAAGAACCAGAAGAAAGCTCAAAAGTTTCTGGCCCAAAATGCTAAACATTTATCGTTAAAGAGACTGTTTGGTAAATCATTTTACAAAAGACTGACTAAGGTGTCACAAGACCGTAAGCAACACAGATTCCTGGAGATGCAATTCTCCACCAGAAAGACGAGACACTCCTGTCAGGAGAGAGAGACTCCCTTTCAGAACAGGCCTCCATTCAGCCACAGTGGTGGGGGCCGCTTCCACAGCCAAGCCCCACCTAGAGGGACAAGAAGCAGAGGCCGCTACAATACTCAAAGGGGAAGGGGATACGGCAGCACTAACACAGCCAGTACAAGCCATACAAAAAGGTACGTACAATTTACCTCATTTGACCCCAATGTGTGCCCAAATCCCACACTCAAATGCAATACACCTGTTTAGAACTGCTGTCGTTAGCAGACATTCAAGTCGAGAAAATTGGGGGGAGCATCAAACATTTCGTAAGCAACTGGGAAAAAAATCACAAAAGACCCAAAGATTCTTCAAACCGTGTTAGGATATGAAATTGAATTCCTCCAAACACCATCCCAGACAGTCCATGTCAAGCAGCTAAACATGCCAAACGCACAACAACAGTTAATGACTGGCGAAATAGAAAGTATGTCACAAAAAGGGGCCATTCTAGAAGTCCTACCAGACAAGGCTCTGTTCCTAAACACAGTGTTACGCATGCTTATAAAATTATCAATTTTAGGACATTAAAACATATATTGTGGGTTGCACCCTGCTATGTTCATGTAATACAGTTTCAACTGTAGAAGAACGTGAATGACTTAATGAGCTGCATCCCACTTCTTATGATATCCACAATTTTAGGACTTTTATATGGGCTGCAGGCCATGATGGAGAGTTAAACTGGAAAGTTAAGTTTGTCTGAAAGTGACTTTCCCCGACTCTTGATAGTTTACTGCTTATTTTCAAAAGCTTAAATGTTGAGAATCATGTACTTGTGCTCATTTAAATGTTGATGAAAAAGATCAAAGTATCATGACAAGATTTTTGTCAAATGGAAAGAGGTTTTCAGTTCATTACTGATCAAAACTTTCATATAATGCTTTTGTTCAGAGTTGTACACAAGTTACTTGGTGCAAATAGACAATGTATGAAATGTATAGTCAGTAGTAAAATATAAATGTTTAGAAAATGAGGAGAAAAAAATGTCTGACTTTAAACGCGAAGAGAAATTGTATAATACTATAAAGAAATGAAGATAATTGCATTTGAAAATTGTAATCAATCGATATTTCTCATTCTTGCCATCCTGCTACACTGTTCACAAAACTATATATTTAAGAATTGTGTAGAAAATGTATACCTTTGATATTGTGCATACCTCTGTACTTGAGACAACCTTGTAAAAGTTAAGAAATAAAAACACAAATAAAAATTTAAAAAAAAGAATTTAATAGATATGACTGAACCAAATGACCAACGCCCGCTGAATGATGGCTCTAACAGTTATTACCGTGTAAGGCCTGCTGAGACAATTAATAATATGTTGACACTGTCTAGTGTAACTGACTACCTAATGGTTTAACTGAATAAGAATATGAGTGAAAAGATGTAACTAATGAAGCGATAATGAAGTATACATTGTCTAGTCTAGATATAAAGCATGATCATACTATTACCTTTCTTCCCTTGGTAAAGAGGTTCAGGTGCGAATCTCAAGGTGCTACCCACAAGAACCATTTGTGAGAGAATTGCATCCCCCAATATTTTTCTGCACCCCACAGAAATTCACCCCACATTTGCTACCTCGTCTGTACGTCCATCTGTCTGAATCATTTCCGGAGCAGAAAGTGGCACAGTTTGCCACTTGGAAGACTGTTCGTAGTTTTGGTAGTATTTATGTTTCTGGCTATTTAGCTTTGAGCGATACAATGGAATACTGTCTGACCTCTCAACAAACTAAAGGTGTGTAGAGGACCAGCTGATGAGAAAGCTTCTCACGTACTCAGTCTTACATGTTGATCACCAGAATGTTCACCCTGTTGGAGAAACTTTTGGATCTTTCCAAATCTGAGTCTCATCACCAGTGGTTACAATAACATCAACAATTTCCTCAAGTGTTTGGTGTTCTCAAACATAGGAACACTTCATTCCATAATCTTGGGAAAGAGAATCTTGACAATTTATGCAAGGTCTATTCTTTCATGTACAGCAAATCTGTTCATTTCGACCAGCTGTACTCACTGTACTTAGACACACATCATTGACACACAAACATTCTCTTAGGAACAGTCTCATCTATGCTTCATGGGCAGACAGTCCCTCATGGTTGTCAGATGCATCGTCTCCTCGCCAAGACTTCATACATCACAACCTTGAAATATATCCAGGTCAGACAGTTCAACATGTGTTTGCATTTGTTGAATGATTCCAAGTTTCTGAAAATAGCTTTGGCTATCTAAACCCAGTCAAATGCAACGCATTCAGGGTAAATGTGCTTGGCATATGGAAGTGCTGAATTGTCAAAGATTTTAGCAGTACTTGTCCAGTGCCCAAACCATTCTACTTGTAGACGTTATGATATATAATACTCGATTCGTATTGCGATCCTAGTTTTGTATCGCGATCCAAGCTTTGTAATTAGCCCTATCACTGCACCTATGAATACCTTGTCAGAGAGAATCTTAGAACTGTTGATTGCTAGCACCCCGTTTGAAGCATTCCAACATGACTTGTTGAGACAACCAAAAGGTTACCTACTTGCAAATGCACTGGACGAGCTTGGAGCGTGGTTAACACCGACACTGACTATACAAATCTGAATGAATAAAGCCACATCAGTGTGTCTATGTCTGGGTGGTTTACACCGACACTGAATGTACAAATCTGAATGAATAATGCCACATCAGTGTGTCTATGGGTGGTTTACACCGACACTGACTGTACAAATCTGAATGAATAATGCCACATCAGTGTGTCTATGGGTGGTTTACACCGACACTGACTATACAAATCTGAATGAATAATGCCACATCAGTGTGTCTATGGGTGGTTTACACCGACACTGACTATACAAATCTGAATGAATAATGCCACATCAGTGTGTCTATGGGTGGTTTACACCGACACTGACTGTACAAATCTGAATGAATAATGCCACATCAGTGTGTCTATGTCTGGGTGGTTTACACCGACACTGACTATACAAATCTGAATGAATAATGCCACATCAGTGTGTCTACGGGTGGTTTACACCGACACTGACTGTACAAATCTGAATGAATAATGCCACATCAGTGTGTCTATGGGTGGTTTACACCGACACTGACTGTACAAATCTGAATGAATAATGCCACATCAGTGTGTCTACGGGTGGTTTACACCGACACTGACTGTACAAATCTGAATGAATAATGCCACATCAGTGTGTCTATGGGTGGTTTACACCGACACTGACTATACAAATCTGAATGAATAATGCCACATCAGTGTGTCTACGGGTGGTTTACACCGACACTGACTGTACAAATCTGAATGAATAATGCCACATCAGTGTGTCTATGGGTGGTTGACACCGACACTGACTATACAAATCTGAATGAATAATGCCACATCAGTGTGTCTACGGGTGGTTTACACCGACACTGACTGTACAAATCTGAATGAATAATGCCACATCAGTGTGTCTATGGGTGGTTTACACCGACACTGACTATACAAATCTGAATGAATAATGCCACATCAGTGTGTCTATGTCTGGGTGGTTTACACCGACACTGATTATACAAATCTGAATGAATAATGTCACATCAGTGTGTCTATGGGTGGCTTACACCGACACTGACTGTACAAATCTGA